TGAATAACATTTGAATTGTGTGAATGTTTAAGAAGCGTTCACACAACTGTCATCCATTTTACTTCCGTTCGTTTTTCGACGCGATTCTAGTACCACAGTTTTTAAGCTATTTCAACAAATCATAAAGTGAAATGTTCAATTCTTACATGACAATTCTGCTTGGCTATATTGGCACAACTTTAGCTTTTTTTGAAATATTTAGCCTTTTCTGCCATTTTCTTTTCTCATAGTCAATGAACTGATCTTATTTTACATCCTTGAAATCTGCGGTTCCCAACCCTGCTCCCTGAGGGACACCATCCTGCATGTTTTACTTGTTTCTCTGCTCCAACACACCTGATTCAGTGATTTAATTACTTCCTCAAATTCTGCAGAAGCCTGTTAATCACCCGTTCATTCAACTCAGATGTGACGGAGCAGAGAAGCAACTAAACTATGCAGGATGGTGTTCCTCAAGGAGCATTGTTGGGACCCACCATTTTTAATCTTTAGAGCTGTGTACGACCTTTTACTGCTCCTTTCACATTCTATTCTGGTTCAGCTTCTTTCAGTTTTGTTGTGCAAACTAACATTTTTTTCAGCTAATTTCATCGGGGGGGGGGGGGGGGGGTAGCTGTTTTGTGCTCCTTTCAGGTTATTTCTGCTAACTACAACAGTTTTGTGCTTCTAACTTAATTTTTTTATTTTTTACTAATTTGAGCTTGCTATGCTCCTTTCAGCTTATATTTGCAAGTTTTAGCTTTTTCTTACTATTTCAGCTCTTATTTAGCTATTTTATGTTAATTTAAGCTTTTTCAGCTAATTTCACATTTTTTGCACTCATTTCATTTTTTTAGCCTAATTCAGCAAAAACATGCTCTTTCTACTTCCTTGTAATTTCAATGTCTTTCTGCTTTTTCTGCTTTCTTCTTTTCAAACATTTATTTTATTTATTTATTTATTTTTAGCTGTTTTCCATCTAATTCCACTATTTATTTATTTATGTTTTTTTGCTCATTTCAACGCCTTTCACATCCTTTTGATACTTTAAGCTTATTTCCTCCTTTTCAGCTACATTTAATATTTTATTTTTTATTATTAATATTTTAAATGATTTCATCTTTTTTAGCAAAAAATATATTTTCTGCTATTTTCTGCTTATTTAAGCCTCATACTGCTAATGTGCTCTTTCAGCTTTCTTCTGCTAACTTAGGCTTGTTCTTCCATTTCAGCTATATTTGAATTCAATTAAATTCAAATCAGTGTATTTATATAGCACCAAATCACAACAAAGTTGTCTCAGGGCACTTTACAGGAACATTCACATAAAAGCCACTTAGTAAAGTTCTCTATCTAAGGAATCCAGCAGACAAGTTGAATCTTGGCTTTGTCGCAGTCTCCCATCCTGAGCAAGCACAGTGGCAACAGTGGAAAGAAAAAACTCCCTTTTAAAAGGAAGAAACCTCCAGCAGAACCAGGCTCAGGACAAGCGGCCATCTGCTTTGACCCGATTTTGTTGTTTTGTTTGTAGCTAATTTCAGCTGTTTTTCACTAAATTCTCCAGCAATAAGCATCCACACTTCATTTTCACAGGAAATTCAATTTCTCTCAATACAATCAGATTGTGTTACACTATTCTTTTAGCATGGCACATCTTGAGAAGCCAAAAAAAAAAAAAAAAAGTCCTTTAGTGTGAATCAGCAGTTTATTCCTCACCACATTTCTGCAGTGGATTCAAGACAATGAATGTAGTTCTGTCAGGCTGGTCAGAGCTTGTTTCTGTTGTGCATTCAGTCTGAAAACTATCTTTGCAGTAGCAGACTGGGTTCAGAACAAGGAAGCCGAGGGAGCTGACTGTGTCTTGAACTGGTGTTTTAGATTTACTTTAATATATTCACTCTGTGACGTTAATCTGTTGTTTACCACAAGCGAGTGTAAACACAATAAACCATGTGAGGAAACCGCTTCCTGAGAAAACCTCTATGATTTCAGCGTGGAATACAAACTCAGCTTTTTTTAATTCATCTGGCCTAATAACAGCTGACACTGTGATGAATGAACTCACTATAAAGTTATCAGACAGTAGAAGATGCCGGGTGAAATTTACATCATAAACTCATCTCGATATGAACAATATGCTGCTCCATACATGAAAAAAAAAAAAAAAAAAACTAAAAGTGATACTGCAGCTTCACGTATTCTCTTGGTTGAATGTGTTCAAGCTCATTGGGCATGTTGACTAAAATATCTCATTAACGTATCAGAGTTCACATATACTTTGTACATGTTAGCTAAAGGATAAATAAAACCTATCAACTACACAAACCTTGTTTAATACTTGCATTTTCTACTATAAAATCTAATGTTTAATTTTATTAAAAATAAAAATCTGACTGACATTTTAGAAATGTAAGTTTAATCAGGTCTTCATCTTAGAAGAAAAGAAATAAGCATTTTCAGTGCCATTTTTATTTTTATTTTTTATTTTTTTTTGGGGGGGGGGGGGTTCTATTATTATGGTGAGAATTAATGATATTCCAGTGGTAGAGTGGCTACTTGCCCTAATGTCCGACAAAAATTGCTTTATAGAAACAGAATGAGACTTAAGCCCCCCCATGGTCTCTAATCAGGCACAGGTTAAAAATGACTGAAGACCAGGTGGAAGAAAATACGAGAAAAGAAAGCAGTTCATGAACAAAAAGGAAAAGCTATTAAGAAATAACAAAGCGAATTGGAAATAAAGAGACTAGAAAAATAGAGAATGTGAAATCTATTGAAGAAAACAATATATAAAGGGATAATCGAAGAGGAAATATCTAAATGCGTTAATTAAATGATGACAAGTGGAGTGAAAAATGTCCACGTTACTAATTTAAGTTAGTTCGCCAGGGTTTATATATGTATATGTATAAACAATTACTAATTAAATACATTTAAACAATTTAACTATTTTTTTACAAAACGTGATACTTCAAATTAAAGCCTGATTTGTTTTGTAAGAAACTCCAGAAGACTCAAGTGGAGACCTCAAAATCACCTGGATCAAGCAGACCACAGCTTGTGAGACTGAAGGGTTGTGTGTCTGACCAGGTGCTCAGTAGCTCAGGAGCACCACAGGGGACTGTACTCGCACCATTCCTTTTCACTCGGTACACCTCAGATTTCCAGTACAAAACAGACTCCTGTCATCTGCAGAAATATTCAGATGACTCTGCAGTGGTCGGGTGTATCAGAGATGGACAAGAAGCTGAGTACAGGGAACTGGTGGACCACTTTGTAGCATGGTGTGGAAACAGTCATCTCAGCTTGAACGTGAACAAAACAAAATAGATGATTGTAGATTTCTGGAGAAACAGGAACAGGTCCAACCTTATTTCCATCATGGGAGAAGAAGTTAAGGTGGTGGAGAAGTATAAATACCTTGGAGTTCACCTGGACAACAGACTGGACTGGAGATGCAACAGTGAAGCCGTCTATAAGAAGGGACAGAGCAGACTGTACTTCTTGAGGAAGCTGAAGTCCTTCAATGTTTGCAGCAAGATGCTGCATATCTTCTATAAGTCTGTTGCAGAGAGCACTATCTCTTCTGCCATCATCTGCTGGGGGAGCAGCACCAGAGCAAGTGACTTCAAAAAGATCAACATGCTCATAAAGAAGGCTGGCTCAGTTCTGAGGACTCCTCTAGAACCTTTGGAGATGATTGTACAAAGAAGGATTCTTCATAAAATGAAGAACATTATAGACAACCCTCTTCATCAGACCGTCATACAACAACAGAGTGTCTTCAGTCAGAGGCTTCTTCAGATCTGCTGTAAGACGGACCGCTACAGGAGATCATTCCTGCCCTCAGCCATCAGCATCTAGAACAACTCTATTGAAACCAGGATGATGAGCTACAACATTTAATTTCCCTCTGGGATTAATAAAGTATTTTTGAACTGAGTGGAATGAAAGTGTAGATTTAATTGTCTTGAAACGAGTCTTAACCAAGAGATCAATCTTGTGATTTAACGATACTTAGTGACTCCTACAATAGTACACTTTCCTCAACAGCTTAGTGAGGTACATTTATTCTGAGATGAAGTGGTGGCTTCACTGAAGCTATCTCAGATTTTTTTTTTTTTTTTTTTTATCTAGGTAGGACACTGGAGAAGGTCATAAAGTGCATACACTATTAACGGTTCATTAATTATAAGATAGTAAGAAAGTACCTTCAGTTTATTAGTCTACGTGTAACTTATAGCTTTTAAACGTGTGTCATTTTTTCTAACCAAGTACTTAAATGTATGTTTTAATAAGTGTATTCAACACTTCAAGCAGGCCAAAGTTGCCAAACTGGGGCTTTTTTTATGCGTTTTAAATTGCATAGAGTAACTGTTCGCAAGTGAAAAGTACTTGGAAAATACTAACCACTGCAGAATGCGGTTTCCTTAATTTGTTCTAATTCCTGTCCCCATGGGAGGGAGAACCATTGAAATGACAATCTCACAAACATGAGCGCTGAAACAGATGTTATAGTCAGAGTCAATGAGTCATAGTTCATTAATCAGGAAGCTGAAATGATGAAACAGAGATAATCTGTTTAGTTGTTGTGTTTTTTTATGAATAAAAAGTAATGGAGTGGTTGAACATCAGTAAACCAGTATGATTCAGTTGTAATTGTGCCGTAATGTGCTTCTTTATATTTCCACAGGGAAAAAGTATGTATTTATTTAATCAAAACAACTGCACATGTAAAAATGAGCACAAACGTTGTGTGCAGGGATGTTGTCCAAAGTATACATCCTCATTATCAATGCATTCCATATCTCCTTACATTGCAGGAGTTAATCCAGGTAGTGTGTTGGAAATTAAATCTTTAAATTTATCCACCAAAAAAAGCACTTCATACAATGATAAAAATAAAAATAAAAAATGCCAGTAATCATGAGCAAAAACATCAAACAGTGGTTGTAAGAAAACAACATCCAATATATACAGTTATTTCAATTAATAACAGGCTTATTTATTTATTATTTTACCTTAATGGCAGTAGATGCAATCTGGATGTGGTGCAGCTTGTGCAAGGTGCTTTCCCTGTCGATGAAGTAGGAGGCTGCCAGCTGGTGCAGAGCTTCCAGCGTCACAGCTGTGCCATTGGAGTCACTTACTTCAGATGTCCGACTCAGCTTCCGCTTGTCCACAAAGATCATTAACGACTCTTCCCCTATGAAAGCACACACACAATGACACATAGGTCTAATAGTTATGACTCAATATCATTCTCACCGAAGTGCGTCTAACTGTTCTTGCTCTCTCTTAGAAAATAGCTCTTAGCATGAAAAGAAAAATGCCTCTTGGAAACTAGATTTACATTTTAAACTATACACACGATTGATGAAACATCAGCCGCTTGCATGGAATGAGATGCTTGATAGAAGCAGTGCTCTAATAAAAATGAGCAGAAGTGTTCACAGGACAGTGTATTGACAGGTTGTGTGAACCAGTGAAAGATCAATTGAAGAATATTTTCTAATGGAAAAAAAAAAAGTTTTTACGGATAGAATGGTTTTAATTTGCAGACACGGTAGACCTCTGGGAATAGATAAAGGTTAACATTTCTACAGCTGAACATCTGTCAATATCAAATTTAACCATTTTACTACAGCAACAATCTTTTTTTTTTGTCTTTTACACATTCTATTGCAGATGATGGCTGTGTTCCCTTTTGATGTTTTGTCACATTTTTACCAATTTGCATTTGCTATGTAAATGTGATATTTTAGTTATAAAAATTAAAATGTTATTCAGATGTTTTTTTAACTTCAAGATGTTTTTATTTTGGTAAAAAAATAAAATAAAAAAAAAGACGAGCCTTTGAAGCACCTTTGAATCAATTTGAGCACTCGCATGACACAACTTCCTCTCCCTCTCTCAAAGCCCCCCTGTGGCGTTTTGCACTTGGTCTGATGATTTGTTTTTGTATGGACCGAGTTATCCTTTTTGTCAAGTCAAGGCACAAGTGCACATCGAAGCCAATAGTTTCACGCTGTTCCACTGATCTACGGATGTCGGCAGTGTTCCAGGAAATAAGTAACAAAGCCGGTGGAGATGACTGTGGGCTTGCAGTTATGGATCTGAAATGCAGGATTTAAAACACTCAATGTGTTTCTGCTGTCCGTGTCAGGAGCTGCTGTTTTGTCAAAGCAGCGTATGCTGTGTCATACCAGCTACTTTAGTAAAAGTCTAAAAAAAATATGAAATAGTAAAACATAACATGCTGTAGTGCCATGCAGGAGTGTTCAAAAACCAAACAATGATTAGCAAAAAGTTATGAAACGTTAAACTAAGAGAAAACAGTATTTTTAGATGTTTCTTATATTAGATCATCCAGTAAATTGGACTTTTATGTTCCAAAAAGCCCTCCAGTGTGTAGAAACTGTAAATCAATTGGACTGTCATTAATCCCGACACAGTCAGAACTGTGGGATGCTGTGCATAATATCTCCATACTCTAAACTTTAAACATGGAAGTCACAATTTCAATGTTTCGGTTGCACATAACTTGTTAACTAATCTCTCTTTAGACCATGCCAGTGGCTGTGAACAAGTGGTGTAGTCACGACTAAAACTATAAGCTGCATGACCTAAGTCCTCTGCACACAAACCGCCAGTGTGCAAGAAAGCAACATTTCACCTCAATTTATTTAATTTAATTCCACAGATTTAAAGCATGTTTCTCACCAAGTGTGTGTAAATTCAGCTGTTTGGTTTTAAAGACATTTCAATTTGAATGCACTTTAACACACACTGTCAGAGATCGACATTATGTGTGTTTATAGAGAAAGTAAATAAAACAAATAAAAATAAAAAACAGTCCCACTAGGACTTTTTTACTTGTGTTCAACACTATTCAACTAAAGGATGTTTCTCACGAAGATTGAGGACAATAAGGTGTTGAGTTTCAAATAAATGTAAATGTTAATGCACCTTAACACACATTGTCTTACAGCGTCACACACTTAGCTTAGCACTAAATTAACATGTTACAGACGTAGCGTTCCACTTCTCTCAAGCATCCTAACCATGATCCTAACCAGCCCTGTCATCAACTGCTCACACTAAGCTCACTAAGCTAGCGAGTAACACAAAGGTGTCTCCACCTCCACCCCCTGTGAGCGTCCTGTCAAGGCAGGAGACGCAGAGGAGACACAGAGGAGACACAGAGGAGACGCAGAGGAGAAACACTGCTGCTGTTGGGAGAATTGTAGGTAACCAGGAAAACCTGGAGTGGACTTTTAGTGCTTTGAGTATTCTCCTATTAATCAAGTGGAATGGATGAGTTCACAAAGGGGGCACATCCCCCTCACATATAATTGATGCAACGCCGATGCACCACAGTAATGTCCAATCAGTGGTAATGCTAATGATTATGTTTGTGTTCGTGTTTATCTGACTGTTAGCAAAGTATTGTATACGTCACTGGACTGATTTGATTGATTGAACGTTGAAACTCTCCTAAAATAATCAGTGGATATACAGTATATCTCCAACTTATTAAGGTTTGGAGTCAACCCAAGTTAAAATCATATTTAGCTTCTATATAAAGACAAGAACAACACAATGTATGTATATATATAATTCACCATCAAGGTGCACCTGCTTGGAGAAGAACACTTATGTTTGGTTGTAAATTAATCAGGGACAATCATATCCAATTTCTGATTAAATTAGTTTATGAGTTTATAATTGCAGCGAAAACAAATCCGATTTTGAATACAGAGCCCTGTAAAACAAAGTATGACTAATTGTGAAACTGATTGTTACTAATAAAGGATTGATAAAAACACATTCCATACCCTTCAACCACCTGATGTTAAGAGCCTCATTACAATGATTTATTCAGGGCAAACATATATGTTATTAAATTATCCACAACATTATTCTTATGCTATTTTTAGATCTCTTTAAGGTGCACAGATAGACAAAGGGGCTAAATTACTTTAAGACTAGGGGACATGTGTAGTTAACATTGATTATACATATTTACAGTTTGCACAAATAGATTTCATCCTTAAGTGCATGATGTGACTAATGATGAACACAGATGAACTGATCACATGTTCAATTTCAATGTGTAACATGTGAGACACAACTGTAACTTCATTAAACAATAATTTGATAAATGTTTATAAAATCAAATAATGTAAAATCAGCATATATTGTTTGCAAGAACTCACCATGCTTGTTGCCAAGTTTTCCTCAGGGACTCAGTAAAACAAGCTGTGTGTATAATACTGTGCATTGTTTTACATGGTGGAGCTGCATTTTTCTCTTTTTGTTTGAAGCCGATCATGTACACGATAGTCTACTTTATTTAAATACTGTTGGTGTTCTTATTTTTAAGAGTTTATGCGCAAATGCAAAAGATGAAAGGAGCCCGCAGAGGAGCAGAGGGGAGGATGATTCTGCACAAGATATCACTGGAAGCTTTGCTGCACAATACACTACTCAGTACAGCTAGCTTCTGTCTATTGTTCTGGAAAGGATCCACTGGCATTTTGGTCTAAACACTTCAAAGACAGAAACTGCATGTTGAGTAAGAGAATATGAGCTTAAAAACCACACACAACTTTGTGTTCACAGCTGAGCTAACATTTAGTGCAAGGTTTAGTTCTATGGACGCGATGTACAGTGAGCTCTTCCCATGTGTTTAGCTGGATACAAATAAATCTTACAGATTACTTCCTATGGAGATCCCTTATGTGGAAACTGGTGTTCTTGCAGAGAAACTAAAACACAACAAACTGTTTGCATGTTGTGTTGTATGCACTTTGCTACATTGCACAGAGCGCAGTGAGTGTGGACCAGCATTTCATAATTAATCCAGTATATTGTATTTATAAAATAGTGAAACTTCACTATGTGCTGCAGTTCAGGATGATCTTTTTTTTTTTTTTAATGTTTGATTTTATACAGGGCTTAATTTATATAGATAGATAGATGAAAACTTTATTGTCCCCATGGGGAAATTGGTCTTGGACATTGTGCGCTATCAAAGCTTCTTCCACAAATAAAATCATGTGAACCCCACAATAAAATACAACAATATAAAACACATATTAATAAAAACACATGTAGTACATGCCCACATACATTCCAACAAGTAAACAACACAACAATGAAACCAGAGCATCAGTGTATAACCAAAAAAAAAAAAAAAAAAATATATATATATATATGCCTACTTTATTTATCAATCTGATGTAGGGCCAAATTATTATTTTTTTAAATCTGTTAAATCTACAAGCTGAGATTTTAAACTGTTTCCCAGATGGTAACAGTTCGTATTGTGAGTTGAGGATGTGAGCGGGGTGAGACAGCACGCTCCGAGCAAGTCTGAGGACAGACTCATCATAGACAGACTGCAGGGAGGGGTGATCAGTCCTTCCTATCACCTTCATTGCAGTTTGTACCACGTAACTAAGTTTAGATTTAAGTTGAGCACATAGATTACCATACCACGCTGACCGTCCAAACCTGATGAGTATTTCCATTACGACCTGATAGAATAAAACCATAATCTTCAGGTTAACCCCAAAGATTTGGAGTCTTCATAAAAAAAATAAATATATACATAAATAAAAATACAATCTCTGCTGTAGTTGAGTGCACAACATATTAACATGCATTTCCCACTTGAACAGATTGTTTTAGGTGAACAGCCAGATCCGTATCTGTAAGAACAGACCTGCTTTATTTTCTGGTCATGAATAAAAAGCAGGAGCTTGTCACTTAGAGACCTGGGGTCAATCAGCATCTCCTCTGTTTTCTTGGCATTAATAACAAGGTGGTGGCCATCGCACCGTTGAACAAAAGATTGGACCTCGTTAAAATATGATGAGGAGTCCATATCATATCATTTGTAAACCGACTGATGCCAGGATGCAAATAGTGGGCAGGCTGGTGGTGGTGGAGGGGGGGGGGGGTCTACCCCAGATAATTTTGAATAAAGTAGATGGGATTTCCTACATTTTAACAGATTAAACATCTATGTTTACCTACATTTATGAACACTCTGCTTCTATCAAGCGTCCTACCCCCCCCTCGATGGTTCCGATACTGAATTCTCCACTGAATTCACTGTCCAAATCCACATGTGAAACCACCAGGCGCCTTCTCCGTCTGTTCATGGCAGCTCCTGCTTGCGTACGACTGCCTGGTTAGCTCGGCACTCACCCCCACTACTCTTTCAGGAGCAGATTTGATTTTTTTTTTTTTTAAGGGTAGATGCAGAAAGGGTAGAAATGCATACAGTACTTATAGAAGCAGCTGGTACGTGATATTAAGTAGCTCGCAAGTGACTGTGTTTAAAAGTATTGTCTTTTAATCATTTTCAGTTTACATATCCAATATAACTTTTAATTGTTCAAGGCAGTCAAATTTGTTCTTAACTTTATTATTAGTAAGCATGAGCATTACTGGATCCAAGCAAACAGTTACCAGAACACACCCTGGCAAAACAAGAGAGTTCCCAGTGTTTGTTCCGGCAGGATCCAGATCAAATTAGGCACTGATTTTATGCCTTGCAATGGATACCTTAAATAATTAGCAATATGAATATACTGGTTAAAATACTGGTAAAGTTTCTGTCACAAAATGATTTTTTTTTTTTTCGTCTGAAAAACATCAGTTGATTTGAGTTTTGGCCAAATAAAATCTCACACCTCACCTTTTAACACTGCTTCTCCCCAGTGTTAAGGGAGGTCAATAACAGCAAGGAGAACCACAGCCCATGTAGTTTCATTTACCTCCTAGCGTCGCAGAAAGCAGGAAGTGGGTTCCGTATTTCCTGATAATGTTGTCAGTGATGGCGCTAACACTGGGCCTCCTGCCCAGTTGCCTAATGGTCTGGAGGAACTCTGGGTCCAGCGGCAAGGAAAAGCCATTGTTTTCTTGTCTCTCCAGGGCCAAGCTGTTCACCTTCCATCGGCCAAATTCCCTGCAATATCAAAGAAACATATGCTCAGATTGAGGAAATACTGCGTAAATGGCATGAATGCTGTGTGTAGGCTTATTTAAGAGAGATTAAAAGACACACAAGACAGTTTTCATTAGTAAACTCATTCCATGAAGTGACAGGGATCATGGAACTGTTATGCACCTTTTTTTTTTTTTTTTTATTACAGTCATGCAGGGACTCATAATGGTATATCATTCTTAAAAAAAATAAAATAAAATAAAAAGCTGCAGTTTCTCCTTAAACAGAGACGCTGTACTTGTGAAGAGGTCAGGAAACAGCTCACACCTCATAATAAACTCAGGGTTCCAAACTGCTCCTTGCCGGGCGTAAAATTTGTTGTATGCATGACCTCTAAGTGGATCTTGTGCGCCACCTCTTTAAAAGAATAATCTCATGCTGTTTCCATTTCCAGTTCAGAGAATTGGTTTGCACCATTGAGGAGGAAAAAAAAAAAAGTACTTTTCTACTGATTTTAAATAACAGCTCAATCTTTTGTCATCTTGGGTTGGTTTTTGAGGCACGCTGTGATCATGGATGGAGCCGTGCTGCTTTCAGGGAGTCTTTGAGATAGAGAAGGCTTCATATGTGGTCAATTGATATTCAGCCTGGCCTTGTAGCACGCCGACCATCTTAATCTACCAAACGCAGACCAAATGCTGCTACTTGATATGTTGATTAGCACTATTCAAATATAACTGGTAATAAACAGTTTATTTTTTACTTTTCTGGCAGTGGAAAGATGCAAAAAACCTTTCAACTCTTCTGGGTAGCTGACCCGACTTAGAAAAAGGCTACAATAAAATAATAGCCCACGTTCTTGAAAGTGTTCTTGGTTTCAAATATTGTACTAGGCAAGATTTCAGAGAGGAAAAAATAAATAAATAAAAATAATAATTCTACCTCCCTAGAACTGCAAAATTGTTAAACAAGAAGGAAAGAAAAAGGCACTTTATGTGTCACTTCATGTCTGTCCTCAACACTTCTGTAAGTTTGTTGTCACATCACCCTTTTTATTTAGTTTTAAGGAAAATAATGTTATGTTTGAGCTACTTGTGTCTGACAGCTTTCTAGGTTCAAATTATCCTAAAAACTATTTTGCATAAAATCTTGAGATGGGTTTGCCTTAAGCTAGCACTAAATAAAACAGCTGGATGTGATATAAATGTACATCATTAAATCAAGTGACTAACATATAATTCAAAGGTAAATTTAACTCCATCAACCATTAGGACTATTATTTTGCCTGCTGGATGAGTTATTGCATATTTATAATATAGAAGGATCTACAAACCCTT